GGATCTACATATAACCCCCTCCCTGGGGGATGGACAACAGAAAAGTGGGTGAAGGGAGACATCGGACAGTTTAAGACATGACAAAATAATAATAATTTATAAATTATCAAGGGTTCATGGGGGGAGTGGGGGATGGGGAAATGAGGAGCTGATACCAAGGGCTTAAGTAGACAGCAAATGTTTTGAGAATGATGAGGGCAACAAATGTACAAATGTGCTTGACACACAAAGGATGGATGGATTGTGATAAGAGTTGTATGAGCCCCCAATAAACTGATTAAAAAAATATTTTAACTGCATTTACAAATGAAACCTATCTAATTTTCCACTAGCAGTTCTAGCCCCTAATGTGGCAAACTAGAAAAGCTAACAGGATGATTGCTTTACAAATTAATCAACTCTCTTAAATATAATAAATCAAACTTGGGAATGTTATGAATCGGGTTATTTTAAACATTCAAATGTTGTATACAGACTTAACCAAATGTGAGTACTCCTTTCAAATTGAAATTGCAAGCATACTATAAATTACACATTTCAAATTAAAGTCACAAAGGTTCTTTAATTTGTCAAACAGTTTTAAACTACTTTCATAACAGTTACACACATTATTTGGAAGAAAAAAATTTAAGTTTATAATTAAGTTTATTGTTAAACTTAATGTAAAAATCTGATGTACTGTATCTCTTATTCCCACCCACTTCCCTCCCCCAATATGTGGTAATACATATACCTCTGGAAGACAGTAGACCCTATGATTGTTGAATTCAAAATGGCCAGTACCAGTGTGCTTCAGCTCACTAATGCTAAGATGTCAACCCTTCAAGTGTCCCCTTTCACTTTTCACAACTTTCAGTTGTCTTTGATTCGTGCTTTGTACATTCCACATGCCAGTTATTGTGGATGTTTGCAGCCGTTCCCTGTCATTCGGAATTGTGCCACATCACCACATGAAGATCCGGAAAGCTTGACTCTTGCACATCATTAAGGTTGATGGGAATTTGGGGAGGGAGCTTTACCACAATCATATGAGTGTCTTTCACTTTGAGGGGTCCCGGCAGTATATCATACAATAGTAGAGACTGATCTCCATAGGTTCTCACGTGCCTTTTGCCCAGAAGTAGATCTCTCGGTTCCTTGTCCCAGTCTGTCTTAGTCTGCTAGGTCCACTGAAACCTACTGTCTTTGAGTGACCCTGCTGGTATTTTAAATACCAGTGGCACAGCAACCTGACAGATGCGTAGTCTGTCATATGGCCTACTTGGCTGGAATGATAAATCGAACAATAATGGTATTTCATTCATCGTCAGAAAGAACATTTTAAAATCTATCCTGAAATGCAAAACTATCAGCGATAGCACAATATCCATGTGCCTACAAAGAAGACCAGTCAATATGATTATTACAATAATTTATGCACAAAATGTAATATAAAAGATTAAGAAAATTGAAGATTTAAAAATCTTAATAGATGTATTGGTGTATAATACACATATCTTACAATTTAATAATTCAATCATATTAAGAAGAGTTATGTAATTTCCACCATCAACTTCAGTTCCCCCCAACCTCCCTTGCTATGCCCATAAGTAATTAATACAGTTACTGTCTGTAGATTTACCTATCCTGGATTTTATAAACAGATAATAATACAAAACAAAAACAAGAAACAAGCAAAAATCCAACAACAATGACAAAGCAGAAGAACCTTAATTGAAAAAAAAGCCGGAGACATCAAAAGTTGAAACAACTTTAAAATGGGCAAAAGGGTAGATCAAATGATAAGGCGTTACATTGTGATCTAACTACATCTGCCGTAATTAGCTTTACCAGGATCTCTCTATAAGGCTGTTCACATCCCTAGACTGTGAGCAGTGGGTTTTCCCCGAGTCTAAATCCACAAAGGGACCCTCCAGTGGATTTGGGACTTACTCTGTCATTCATTGTTTTTGTTGTGAGGTGCCATCGAGTTGGTTCCGATCCATAGTGGCCCTATGGACAGCACAACGGCACCATCCTCACAATTGCATTTATGCTTGAACCCATTCTGAGAGCCGCTCCATCGTTCCATCATTTCCTTGAGGGCCTTTCTCTATTTTACAAACAGGACACCCTTGTCCAGGGACCAAACTCCTGCAACATGTCCTGAGTGTGTAAGACAAAGTCTCACCATTTTTGTCTCTAAGGAGCACGCTGGCTGTACTTCTTTTTAAAAAAAA